CTATCATATGGTTCTACTTATGTGAAATATCTAGAACAGGTAAGTGTGTAGAGACAGAGAAATTAGTGATTGCGAAGGCTGGGGTGAGGGGAGAAGGAAGAGTGACCAAATCACGGGGAGAGGGGCTCGTACTGAGGGCATCAAACTGTTTAGAACTCGACAGGGGCGGTGATGACCAAACGCTGTGATACACTAAATGCCACCAACTGTTCCCTTTAAAACGAGTAACTCTGTGGTAATGCCAGTTTGACCTCAATTTCTAAAAATAAAACAGAAGCCAAAAAAAATTTTTAAGTGTCCCAAGGCCCTAGATCTCCCTCTCTCAGAGGCCAGGAGACCTCACATTGCCAAGATCTAGTGGGTGTACGGGACAACCAAGCAGATAAAACACTTGTCCCTCTTGTGTTAAGCGTACGGGGCTAGATTCTTTTTTTTTTTTTTAAAGATTTTATTCATTTGAGAGAGAGAGATCAGAAATAGGCAGAGAGACAGGCAGAGAGAGAGGGGGAAGCAGGCTCCCTGCTGAGCAGAGAGCCCGACGTGGGGCTCAATCCCAGGACGCTGAGACCATGACCTGAGCTGAAGGCAGAGGCTTAATCCACTGAGCCACCCAGGCGCTCCCAGGGCTAGATTCTCTTAAGGCCAAAACGTAAGGGGGTGCTCAGCCAGTGCTACAGAAAGTGGGTGTTCGGAGCCAACATACGACCACACATGAACTCTTACAGATGTGCAGCTACCAACTGGTCATGGAAATTTTGAGTAAAGAGCAGCCATGCTTACGCGACACATAAGCCTTCTGCCGTCTAGATGGCTTTCTGCCAAGGTGCCTGCCCTCCCCTCACCTGGAGTCAGCTCGACGCCTAGCACAGACGGGGTTCTGCCTCACCTCTCCAAGGTGAGTGGCCACCTTGCTCCACTGGGACTGAGCTGGCCGGGCGGGCAGCAGACTGCGGGGAAGAACCACCTTGTCCTGAAGACGTGGGACTCCTTAAATGGCCTTTGAATGGAACCAGAAGCCTTTCAGGGCCAAAACATTTGAGAACAAAACCAATGAAACCCAGTCCGGTCCTTTGAAAATGCTAGTGAAATAGATAAACATCTAGCTACAAAATCAAGGGGAAAAGAGCGAAAATACAGGTTATCAGTACCAAGAAGGAAAGCAGAGTCATCACTACAGGTCCTACGACACTGAAAGGGAAACGAAAATATTATCGACTTCATTTTCATGGATTTCACTCACTAGATGAAATGAAAACAATTCCACGAAAGACGTAAGTTACTAAAACTGACTTACAAAGAAACAAAACCCAAGGAGCCCCAAAACAATGAGATGAAGTGAATTCGTGAATAAAAACCTCACAAAGAAAATTTCAGGCTGGGATGACTTAGATGAGAAAACGCACTCCGTCTGTTCCACCCAACATTCAATGGAGAGAAACAGCCCACACACTGCCACACTGCTGGTCAGAACAGGAAAACGTGCGAATGTATATTCTACCGTACGACCCAGCCATTTTACGTCTCTACCAAGAGAAATGAGGAAGCAGACCTGTGAGCACTGCTTTTAGCAGATTTATCCAGAGTAGCCAAGAACTAAGAAACAGCCCAAGGGTCCATCAGCAGAAGAGGGGACAAGTCAATTGCGTTGTATCCACTGGTGACAGGTTTTATGGACATGCGTGACACATTTGAACCTCAAAACCATGCTGAGGTAATAATGAATCCAGAGACAAAAGAATATGCACCAAAGGATTCCATTTATGTGGAACTCTAAGAAGGAAAAGAGCCTCAGCTGCAGTGACAGAAAACAGGTCAGTGGTCACTAGGGCCACGCTGGGGAGGGGCTGACTGGGAAGCACGAACAAGGGAGGATGTGGGGGGCTGGAAAGGCTCTATCCCGGCCACACAGTAGGTAACACGGTGTGCACACTTGCCAAATCCACGAGGCTGTACACTTAAAGTGGGTGCGTTTTTTTAAATTTTATTTATTTGAGAGAGAGAATGAGAGAGAAAGAGCACGAGGGGAGGTCAGAGGGAGGAGCAGACTCCCCACCAAGCAGGGAGCCCGATGTGGGACTCGATCTCGGGGCTCCAGGATCATGACCTGAGCCGAAGGCAGTTGCTTAACCAACTGAGCCACCCAGGTTCCCAAAGTAGGTGCGTTTTGTGTAAATTGCAACGGACCCTCCAAACAAAGCTCTGATTTGTAGCGTTTTAACTTCCACAACCTAAGTACACCCGCTGCTCGCAGTTTCGAGCAAGCGACGTGTCGTCACTCCGTGCGGAGCAGAGAAGGCTACGGGACCAGCTCTCGCGGCCGTGTGGGCCAGCACCGGCTCCTGTACGCTACCACCTGCGCCTCAAAAAAGTTGCTTTTGGAAACAGAAGATGACGAAGACCCTGAAACATCTCCGACGCGCACCGGCGACGCCTGTGCGGACGGAGACGCAGCGCAGTCGAACGCCCGTGGGACCCAGCAGCTCCCCACCCCGTGTGCGCACAGCTGACGCGTGGACAGGCGCCCCTAGGAGGCCCCACCGAGGGCCACAGCAGCCCTGCTCCTAAAGACAAAAATGGCCAAGGGCTCATCACCAAGAGCAGCACGGACGACCGGCGCTCGTGGAATCGCTTCCGCCGAGAGGACGAGTCTGCAAGGTCGGGCAGCGGGGTGAGCGGCGCGGGTGTGCTGGGCCGCGGGCGGCGTCCTGACGCGCGCAGACGTGGGGCCGGCGCTGGGGGCCCCACCCAGCCGGGCTGACGATGCGGACGGACACCGGGGCCACAGGGGTCTGGCAGGGTCTGGTTCTTGGCCTGTTGGCTGTTCAACGGACACTCGGTAAAGTCCCCTTGAGAGCACACGTTCTCTGGACCCTCGCGTCAGCTCCAATCAGGAAAGTATTTTATAAAGCAAACCTGTTCCCGTGGTCCAGCACGCGAGCCTGCTGTTTCCAGCGCGTTTACCGTGACAGGCTCTAACTGCTGGTCTTCGCGCAGACACACGGCAACGTGAAAGCGGGACGCACGTGTGCGTCCCCGTGAGTCCTGGTGTCCCTAAGTCCCCGTCTTCCTGTGTGTCTTGACCGCGCCACGGCTTGTTGCCGTCCCTCCCCACCCTCCACTCCCGCTCTTTCAAAGTGTCTCCTGTCCTCTTTCTAAGCGGCCTCAGGACCTGCTCCAGCCCAGGCAGGGACTGGGAAAGCCTCGCGTGCCCCCTCTCTCCACAGAGGGCTCCAGGCCGGTGGCTCGGTTCCCCCGTGAGCGTGCGCGTAGCCACCCGAAGGCAGCGTGGAACCAGAGGGACACGCGCGAACCCGACAAAGTGTCACACGGCACCGAGGACCGGCCGGCCGCCCCGCCCACGTCTACCTGCAGGGACAGCTCGGTTTAAGACCGAAAGCCAGGAAAGCAGGGACGGGCAAAGCCCGCGAGACCAGATGATGCCTCCTGTTGAGGGGCAAGTGATGCCTTTGTCCTCAGGGAGGGTCGCCGGCGAGGCACCTCCTCCTGGCGCTGGCTCTGGCGGGCGCTGCACCTGGGCCGCGGAGGCCACCGCGCCAGCCCTGCAGCTGCAGGCCTTTCTGTGCTGGGCACACATTTGCATCTCAATAGCCCCGATTAACATTTAAGGAGCCAGCTGTCCGCGCCACAGGGAAAGGGGGGGAAAACCGCCTTGTTCCTTTAAGGGGTGGGCTCAAGGCTCTCCGTCAAGCGGCCTTCATCTCCCCACTGGGTCTTCACACTCACGCAATTCTTCTCCGTGAAAAAATACCGAGCGCCATTAGCGAGTTATCAGGGCCCGACTGTGTCTGCATCAATGGCCCTCAGTCCGTTGTGGCCGTCGTGCAGCTGCAGGGCTGGCCTCTGTCCCTCTGTCTGTCCGTTGTCACCAGGCACCGCGTCCAGCGTGGCCTGTCACTGCCCATCAAACGGAAGTGGACAGCATGTTCAGCGCTCCCGCACTGCCCTGGGGGTCGAGCCAGCCAGCACCCCCACCCAGCCCAGGGGGCCACCGGCCCCGCTGCTCTCCCCCGATCCCCGCACGGCCACCAGCGCTGAGGCCTCCCCTTGCCGGCCACCGCCCGAGCAGGGTCTTGGCTCGCAAGTCTGCCCGGAGGCCTCCTCTGCGCAGGTGTGAGTTGTAGGGAGTTTAGTGGCATCCCCCAAAACTCACGTCCACTCAGAACCCCAGAACATGACTCTCTTCGGAAAAACGGTCTTGCAGGTGTAATTAACTAAGAAGAGGTCATGCTGGAGGAGGGCGGGCCCCGAATCCAGTGTCTGGTCCTTGTAGTAAGAGGAAACAGGCACAGGAAGAAGACCGTGCGACCCCAGACCCCCTGTCCCCAAGATCGACACCCAGCAACAGTGGAGGCCGTGGTCTGGGCCCAAGAGAGCCCCACACACGCAGGACGGCCACTCAGAGCTCCCCTCCTTTCCAACCTGGGAGGCAGGGGCCAGGTGCCTCCCGGGACAGCAGCCCCACCAAGGTCGGGGTGCAGGGAGGCAGGGCCAACAGCTGTCTGGGCGCTGCCCTCCCAAGCGCCGTCTGGCCCCTTGACCCCCACCTGCCCTCATGAGTCCTGGGCCCCCTTCAAGCCCGAGCACCCAGCCAGGAACCACCTGAGACCCTTCACCCCCACCGGGGGGCATCTCGCTCTCAGCGCACAGGAGTGCCTGGGTCACCGCGGTCCTGGGGGCCTCGGTGGGCGCTCAAGGGAGGCGGGGCCTCCACCTGGGGAGGGCGAGGGTCGCAGGCCCCGTGCTCGTGCTCGCACTGGTGGGATTCGGCTTCCCCACCACCCACCCAAGGGCAGATCTGGAGAAAGTCACTCCTCAGAGCTATTCCGCAAATTCCTCCCCAGACAGCACGGCGAGGCCCCCAGACCCGCGCACTGCCACGGTCCTATGCCCCGGCGAGAGAGGCAGAGTCGCGGGCAGCACCCACGCTCTCCCACAGCCGTGCGGGCTCAAGGGTGCGGGGACCGTCAGACGGACTTAACATGCCGCTTCCCCCAACGAAGACCCCAAGGACCAGCTCTGCCCTGGCCAAAGGGAAACGGGGACCGGGTCAGGCTCTGCGCACCTACCTGCTGGGAGGGGACCTGCCCGCCCCCGCCCCAGCGCTGCTCCCACCCCTGGACGCCTACGGGGTCCCTGACCCGGAAGCTCTGCCGCTCCCGCTTTTCACCCCAGCCCAGGGGGTCGGGCGAAGCCAAACCACGAGAGGCAGGAGAGCTCACCCAGCCGCTCCCGTCCCTGCCACTGGGGACTGCGGGAGTCTGGGGACTCAAAGGCGGGGCCCGAGCAGCCCCACTGTCACCGGCACTCAAGGTTTCCGCAAGGGACACACGCAGGCCGGGCAGACCGGCGGCAGAGTCTTGCCAAACCTCTGAGAAAGCCTCTGGTTTCCGAGTGTGGGGCTGGGAACTGCAGCCCGGGGCGGCGGGCTGACCCGAGTCCTGGAGTGTCCCGAGGAGGAGAGACGCCCATGCCCTGGGGAGAGAGAGCGAAGGACGCCCAGAGAGGGCGAGGGCGCTGGCGACGGCCCGTGAGCGCAGCCGCGGCGGGGACGCCCCCGCGTCCGGACGTGTGTGCACAAAGGCGCGGCAGCACGGACGGCCGCGCGTGCCAGTGTCACACCGTCCCAGACGGCACGCGCGGCTACAGCGTCCGCGGCTGGGAGTGACCGCGCAGACCGACCGTCCGCCCCGGAGGCGCCCACGCCGAGGGCGTCTGGCCCAAGGGGCAGCCTCCAAGCAGCAGCCATGTGCCCGAGGCATCGGCCGCCCTTTCCCCCACAGGGAGCTCCCCACGAGCTTCGGGATGCCGCGGGGGACCCTTCCGGGTCCAGACGCCCCTTCCGAAGGGAGCTCCAACAGCCCGGCGGTGGGGTGGGGGAGCCACGGCCCGCCGGCGCCCACACCCTCAGTCTCGCTGACCCCTCCCTGTGCCCCCTCAGGATGCCCACCAGTGTGGTGGCCACAGCCTTCCGAGAGCCCCGGAAGGTGCTAGGAGGACAGTGACTGCACGGCCTGCCCCATCAGCAGCTGCGCTGGCCGGACCCACCCAGGGCAGCTGTGAGCCACGAGCCCAGGCGGGAGCCCATCGCCCCCCTGCACACAGCCCACTGGCTCATTCCACATTCACTGGTGTCACAGGATCTTAGCTGGCGGGATACAGTCACCAAGGGGGACACCCCCTATCATCCCTGAGTGCTGGGGTGGGGGAAGAGCAGCAAAGCACAGAGGGCCTCCAGGTGGAGGCAGCAGCTCTGGAAGCCTCAGGCGGCTCTGCCTGCCGACCGCACAGACACACCACTGTCTCTGCCACCTCTAGACGACACCTCTGTCACCACTAGGCTTTCCTTCCCTTGTCCCTAGGGCCAGTGGAGGCCACCCGAGGGGGCTCCATGCGTTCCTGGCATTGGCTTTCCCTCAACCCAGCCATGCCCTAAGGCCCAGGACAAGGGCTGCCAGTGCTGGAGGGAAGCCGTGTGGAACCCAGGAAGATGCCGGGACCCCGGACTCAGTGGGACCCACCTTTCTGGGGCTATAGGGTCTGGGGCTCAGGGTCCAAGCGCAGCTCTTCTCAGGAGCAAGACTTAAATGCAAATCAGCCCCGGGCACAGGCTGCCACGGAGGGAGGAAACGGAGACGCCGCGCGCAGCCGGGTGCAGAGAAGCGCAGCCCCAGGGGGCAAGGGGCAAACCCCACAGAGGAGCGGCGCCCCATCCCAGGGCTGAGGGCAGCTAGCCCGCTGCCTGTCGCAGCACAGGGACCCCAGCCGGGCTGACCGCACAAGGCTGGACTCCGATCCCAGAGAACAAAGTGTCGTCCTGCTCCGTGGCTGATGGCAGAGGACAAGGCCAGACACCAGGACGCCCACCGGTCCCCACACAAAATGGGAGCACCGAGCATGGCTCTGTTCCTGAGAGGGGCGCCCCCGCTGGGAGCCACGCACAGCCCTGTCACTCCCGCAAAACTCAGGAAAGAACCCTGAACACGTGAGATGGGCTGACCCGCGAGGCACACACCGTGGTCCTCACCGGCCTACGGGGCAGGGACACACACACACACAGGTCAGGGCAGAAGCTGAGAAGACTGGAATGATTCTCCTGCCTCAATGATCCCAAGGCCCTGGACTCTGAACCAAGGACCCGCGGGTCACTGCGTAGGCTTGGAAGACTGCCCACCCCACGGGTGCGGTGACCCATGGGTCCAGATCAGGGCCAGGGAGGGGATGCACCCCTGCCCCGATGTCCTTCATGCCTGCCCCCACTCCTGGGGCTGTGCCAGGTGAGCCCACACAGCCAGGGACTCAGGCTGAGGAGGGGACTCCAAAATGACCCACGTCCTAAGCCCCAGAACCTAGAGATGTGGCCTCACTTGGAAAAACAGATCTTTACTGTTTTCATGAAATTAAAGATCTCAAGATGAGACCATCCTGGCTTACAAGGAGAGGTCCTGAATCCAATGACAAGTGTCCTTAAAGAGACACGGAGAAGCCACACGAAGATGGAGGCAGAGATTGGAGGAATGTGGCCACAACACAAGAGACACCCAGAGCCTCCAGAGGCAGGAAGGAGCCTCCCCCAGAGCCTCTGGAGAGAGCACAGCCCCACTAGCACCTTCTTCTCCGACTTTCGGCCTCCAGAACTGTGAGAAAGTCCATTTCCATCGTTTTCAGCCGCCCAGTTTGTGGTGAGTTGTTACGGCAGCCACGGGACAGTAACAGAGCCGCCAGCCTAGAGGTGATGCGGGTGTAACGGGGGCACCCGTCACCCCCACGCTTCCCCTGACTTCTCTGGTCAGCCCTGGGGGTACAGCTGCCCCTCGGCCTCATGAGGACTCACCCGACCTCAGGCGTCCCCGGATATATCCCAAGAAAGAAGCAGAAACGCCTCCCCCCCCGAGAACTTACATGCAATGGACCGATTCCTCCAATCCACAGAACACCGAAGCCACCTAAAATATTAACGGACACTGAGCAGTCCCGTAGCTACGAAAGACGCTCAACTTAGTTACACATAAAGGAGGAACGTTGCGGGGCGCCTGGGTGGCTCAGTGGGTTTAGCCTCTGCCTTCAGCTCAGGTCATGATCCCGAGGTCCTGGGATCGAGCCCCGCGTCGGGCTCTCTGCTCAGCAGGGAGCCTGCTTCCCCCTCTCTCTCTGCCTGCCCCTCTACCTACTTGTGATCTCCATCTGTCAAATAAATAAAAAAAATCTTAAAAAGAAAAAAAAAAAAAAAAAAAGAGGAACGTCGGGGCCCAAGTGGTTTACTGTGAATTCTGCCAAGCGCTTACAGGAGCAGTAACGCCGACTCTCCCCAGTCTCCTCTAGAAAGGACAAACGGAGGGACACCTCCCGCTCCTTTCATCGGGCCAGCATTACCCTGACACCAGAACCAGGAGACACAACACAGCAAAACCACAGACCATCGTCCCTCACAACCACAGAGAAGTCCCTGACAACCTGCTAGAGACGCGCCAGCCCCGTGCCCGTGCGGACGGGCCCACGCGCTGCGGGCACCTGGGCGGCAGCCGACGAGCACGGGGCTTCTGGTCTCGGCTCAGATCGGTCTCCGGGTCGCACCACCGGGCCCCGAGGCAGGCTCCTCACTCAGCGGGGAGTCTGCTTGAGATCCTCCCTCCCTCCGCCCCTGCCCCCCCACCCCTGCCCCTGTGCACGCGATCATTCTCTCATCCTCTCAAAATAATTAACTAATTAAACGAAGAAAAAAGAAAAAACTCACACTGACCCAGCTGGGCTCACCACAGAAACTGGAAGATCCGTTAACGACTGAGTAAGAAAACACACACGACCTTATCCGTAGATGCAAAGAAAAACCCAAACCCTAGACAGAATTCGGTATCTACTCGTACTAGGTGAGTTTTCTTACCTGAAGCAAATGAGAAGGGACCCCCCCCGCCCCGCGCACAGGGGAGACGGCGCCGCCTCGCAGGTCGGGCACAGCACAAGCACGGCTGTCCGCCGCGGCCCTTCAGCATCACACACAGACAGAAAGGATATGGGACGCGCCACAGCGAGTCCAAGAAACCTGACGAATGCGGCCGATGGATCCCCCGTACGCGCGGCTTCAGGACCTGCGGGACCCCTTGGGACGGACGGACTGTCAAGAGCACGCAGAGTCTGCAGGGCGACGGGGCAGGCACGGGTTACCCACGGCCCTTCCTCAGAACCCACAATCTGTCCCAGGAGTGTGTGCTTCGTGACCAGCCATCACAACGGGATCGTTTCACAAACAGGAGAGGAGGGGACCTCAGGGTGTCTGTGGGCGTCAGTCCCCTCATCAGGACCTGAGTCATGGCCCAGGTGCCTCAGAGCCCCCGAGGAGCCCCACACCACAGCCCTGCCCCTCACCCAGAACTTAATTATGTCCACAAAGACCCTATTTCCAAACAAGGTCATGTTCAGAGGCTCTAGGGACCCCTCTTTCGCGGGGGACTACCCAGCCCACCAGGACCCGCAAACCCAGCCTGCCATGGGGAGACACTACCAGCCTCAGCACATTCCCACAGCCTGGGATGCACCCCCAGGCCAGACCCTGGCCACCCTGGCCACCCTGCCCCCCATCACAGCCTCCCGTGCCAGCACACGTGGGGTGCTCACACTCACTTCGAGGGGAAGGCCTCTGACCTCTGACCGGTCTCTCCACTCACAGTTCCCCTGGTGGGCCTCCCACCCCAGATTTGATGATGCCCTAGTCCGCTGTCCTCCTGCCAGCTCTCAGCTTGAGGGGCCCGACGGGGACGACCCCACAACAGCCTGGCGTGGGAGCACTGCCGTCAGCGACAACTGGAGGCGGGAGCCTGCGGCCTCGCTAGTTTATGACTGTAGGGTCTGGCCGGGCTGCCTCCCCAGGAGTCCATTCCCTCCGACGCTCTGGGGTGATTCTGTCTCTGAGAAGAGCGAGAATGTTCCAGGCCTTGCCCCTCCCTCACCGGACTGCTAGGCTCCGGCCGTGGCCTCCTGAGGGGCTGGCACCCAGGCCCGCAGGCAGCGCGGAGGTCAGAACTGGACCCGGTGCCACGTCCTCGGGCTGCCCCCGGCCCACGGCTGAGGGTCGTCAGCACTTAGAGGGCTCACGGTGCAGCCAACCGGGCCTGGGCTTTCCTCCGTGGGAAGTTTTAAATTATGAATTTAATCTCTTTATTACAAATGTACTCAGACTACTTCCTCCGAAGCAGTCGCCGGAGCTGGTGTCTCTCTAGGAACTCACACGTTGTATCTGTTAACACGTCGTATCCGGTCTCAACTGCAGCCCCTCGTGACCTTCTTTAAGTCAACAGTGACATAAGGCCAGCGCCCTCTGGACACACAGGAACCACGACAGCCCGCGGCCGGCCTCACGCCGAACCTTACAGCAAAACACCAGACTGTCACGCTCCCCGCATCGGGCGTGTGCCTCTGCCGCATGCTCTCTTCAGGTTGAAGAAATCGTGGACCATCCCTCGTTTGCTCAATTTTTTCATAAACCGGTGCTGAACGTTAAATACATTTCCAGCATCAACTCATACACAAACTGAAATGATCCATTTTCAGATACAAAACTACATCATCGAGTCCCCGACACGACGCGGCGACGTGCGCACTCGTAAACGCGTACTTCCAGACTATAAATATCTACAACGCGAGCCGAACTCGCTGGCGACAGTGTTCTACTCTCCCGCACCGCTACTTACTTTCACGCCACGCGTTCAGCGTCTTAAGAGGAGCGCGTTCAAGTCCCCCCAGACATCCCCACCTTTGCCCTGAAAGTGACCTGTGGCGTCCGGGCCCGGCCACCAGAGCCAGCAGTGGCAGCTGTTAGCGGCGTACCGGACGCTGACTTCAAATACCCGGGCGCACACCACAGGGCTGGCCTCGCCCCTTGGGGCTGCTGCTTCAAAAAACCCAGAGACTTGCTTTAAACCTGCAAACTCGGAGCTGCCTCCCCGGGCCTCCCTGTGAGCGTATTTATTCACTTCCTTACTTCTAGGGGGCGTGCTTCCTTTGGCTTGTTTGGTGCGTTTTGTTTTTTTTTTTTAAGTTTTATTTATTTATTTGACAGACAGATCACAATTAGGCAGAGAGACAGGCAGAGAGAGGGGGAAGCAGCTCCCTGCTGAGCAGAGAGCCCGATGCGGGACTCGATCCCAGGACCCTGAGATCATGACCTGAGCCGAAGGCAGAGGCTTAACCCACTGAGCCACCCAGGCGCCCCTTGTGTGCTTTTTGTTTGTTTGTTTAAATTATCACGGCAGTCCTGCTGGGGAGAGAATGTTGAGAAACCCAGGGAAGGCAGAGGAATTGCATCTGACTCTGAGCCAAAGCCCGTGGGCATTTCGTGTCCAGTTTTGGGGGCCAGTCTGCATCATCCTTGGGCTAGAGCAGCCCTGGTTCTCAGGCTGGACCCACAGGGCTCTGGGTGGGGACAGCCCTGGCCCTGTGTCCCCATTATAAGTGCGTTCTCAAGACTCCTCTTAAATTTTGACACTGAGAAAAGACAAAAAGCAAAAACAATGGAATCACACAGATGTCAGACTTCCGAGGGCACGTTCTGGTGCGGCTCACCAGGAAAGAAGGAACCCGTCTGGGCTCTTGGCGCTCTTTTCCAAAGGTGACCCAAACATCTTCTCTCCTGAAGCTGCCCCCCCTGCTGTGGGAGGGGCATGTAGGCAGCAGGACTCTGCGGAGCCTCCCCTCACCCGGCCCGGGGGACCACTCGGGCCAGCAGGACCCCGAACCCCGGGGTCTGTGCCTCGTCCAGACCACTCCAAAATGGGAAGGTGACCAGCACCAGCCCAACAACCGATGTGCGGCCCACCGGAATGGGCAGGCGCTCGCTCCCTTGGGGCGCGCAGGAAGGGCGTGTGGAACTCTGCAGGCCTCCCTGAGGGGACCCGCCCGCACTCTACCTGGGGCGCCCCCGGCTGACCGAGCCAAGCCCACCCCACCCCCACACACCTGCCGACAACCGCGCCTGCTCAGAGCCCACAGCTACCCTCCGGGCGGACTATGTCTGCCCCACAACAGAGGGACCCCGTGCTGGGCCAAGTTCCAGGCACCCCCAGCCACGGCCTCCCTGAGCCACGTGAGCCCCCAGAGAGCCCCCCGCCCGCGCTGGGGTGCCCAGCGGCTCGGCGGCCCACCACCCCCGCCTCCCCCGCCACCCAAACGCCCGACACACCAGCCCCCCCAGCTCTCGCTGCGGGCCCCGCCCCAAAGCACGTCCCCCAGCCGGGCTCCAGCTGCCGACCCCCGACCCCCGGCCTCGCGCGCCTCGTCCCCACTCCCGTGGCTCCGGGCGCGCTACCATGCCAGCGGACCCCACTCACTTCTCTTCTCGGCGAGACCATCCGATGCCCTGCAGTGCAGACTCCACGAATTCCCGCCGTGGCCGCAGCTTCCCGAGCTCGGGAACCCGGAGGCGCCCTCACAGCCCCGCGCCTGAAATCCGCACCCGGACGCCCGCTAAGAACGCCGCGCCTGCGCACAGCCGTGAGCGCGGAAGACACGTGCGGACGGCGTGCGCCTGCGCGCTGGGGTGAGGATCACAGCCTGCAACCGCGCCTGCGCACAGCCGTGAGCTGGGGAGACAGGCGCGGACAACGTGCGCCTGCGCGCGGGGTTGACAACCAGGGCCTGCAACGGCGCATGTGCGAAGCTGCGAGCAAGGAAACACGTGGGGATGACAGGCAGCTGCGCGCAGGGGTGGCGAACAGGGCCTGCAGCCGCGCCTGTGCACTGCAGCGAGCAGGGAAGCGTGGGCAGCTTGTGGCTGCGCAAGGGAGCAGAGGCGCTCGCCTGACAGCCATGGGCTGCGGCCGTGCGTGCGCACAAACGTCTCCCCGCCCCCGGAAACTTCCGAGGCCACAGCGGCTTCCCGGAGGCACACACGCGAGGCCCAAGTGGAAGCGAGCAGAGCCCACTGGTCTTCCCCGGTCGCGAAGGCAGGGCCTGGGTGTGTGCGTTCCCGCCGGGGCTGCCGGCCTGGTGGCGGTGGCCAGCTGGAGATCAATGACGAGTAGTACCTCCGTGGCGGTGGCATTTTATACTGAGTGACATAAACGTGAGCGTCCGGATGAGACGGCTGAACCGAGGCTCCACAGAAGCAGGAGGCTGCCCGGGACCCGCGCCCCCGCGGGCAACAGGCCTGCCGATCCCGCAAACTGCACACCCTCAAGGGCAGAGAGTCGTAGAGCCGTGCGAATCACTCCACGGCTCTGAAGCTGTGCAACACGCTGGACCCTGTGCAGGGCAGCGGGCGCTGACCCCGCTCCCGGGAGGCCCGAGGCGAGTCCCCGGGGCCACGCTGACCGCCGGCCCCGTCCCCACGAGGCCCCGGACGCAGTCGGGGTAGGGGGGGCTGACCCCGGATCCCGGGAGGCCCCAGGCAGAGCCCTGCACGCGGTGGGAAGAGGACACCATGGCCGGGCAGACCGGCTCCCAGACACCACGGCAGCTTCGCCAGGGAAATCCAGTTGCGAAAGTCACTCTAGTGCAGTTCCGAGGAGAAAGATCACAGGCTTCTCCCCAGAAAAAGCCTTGGGCAGAACGTAAGGCTCCTTCCTGATGGACACGGAATGAGTAAGGGCCACAGGAAGCGACTGCTGCTTTCCAACCACAGTGACACAGACACGCGTTTTGCAAACCCATCACCTCGCTGAAGCAGCAGACGCGCTCCTACTTGAGGAGCAGCATGGGGAGGGCCAGGCGCGCCGCATCCACTGCCGGTGAGCCCTGGCACTGGAGGCCTCAGCCGCCGCCGTCTGACCGGAGGGCATCAGGGCCACGAGAATGGAGCCCGCGGGGGCTCTGTTCACAGAGACTACACGGATGAACCTGGAAAACCCTGCAACAACGTCCAACCAGACTTGGTGAGGACGGCGTGTCCCACTTCCTCGGCATCCAGATTCAGCCAGGCCATGCGGCCACTAAGCATGGGAAATGGGGCACGTGTGGCTGAGTAGTGAGCGTCTGTCCCATTTCCTTTCGTCTTCTGCACACGGGAACCTAGCCACACGGGACTGCCGACCTGGCAGCAAGCACGGCACCAGACCGTCAACAGAGAGTGGACTTCTCGAATAATCCACAAACTCAGGAACGCTGAAACTCACACACAGACCCCCAAAGTCTTCACGTCTGCACAAAGTCATGCGCGGGCGGGCGGAGTAGCCGAGGAGCCCCGCCGACAGTGGAGACCGACGGTAAAACACTCACAAGTGACCGTAGCGGGAAGTGTGCAAGCGTCATTACGGGACAGGGAAAGGACTGTGATTACAGACTGCAGAGCAGAGATGACATCGCCGTGTGGCCACTAACACCCCCCACAGGGAGCGCACCCTGAAACCCTCCCCTCGGCCGCTTCAGGCCGAAAAGGGAAGAAGCCAACGTGGTCAAATGCTCACGTCTGGGGGCGCCTGGGGGGCTCAGTGGGTTAAGCCGCTGCCTTTGGCTCAGGTCATGATCTCAGGGTCCTGGGATCGAGCCCCGCATCGGGCTCTCTGCTCGGTGGGGAGCCTGCTTCCTCCTCTCTCTCTGCCTACTTGTGATCTCAGTCTGTCAAAAAAAAAAAAAAAAAAAATGCTCACGTCTGGGCAGCCCAGCAGGAGAGAGCGTGGGGATTCTTGTACCGTTTTCGCAACTGTTCCCTACACGTGAGGTTATTTCAGAAGAGAGAATTTATTACAAATGCCCACGTCCTGGGACCAGGTGCCCCCCAGCTGGAACTCGGTCACGCTTGGTCAAGGAGCGCGGCTTCTGCAAGGATAAGCTCTGCTCATTCTGGCCTTGGTGATTACCTCCTGAAAGTCCCCGGACGCTCCTCACACACCCACTGAGAACTGGGTGGGCCGCTCCAGACACACGGATCCTGACCGACCCCCAGCACATCGTGGGGGCGAGGGAGGAGAGCAGAGGGCGCATGTGGAGGGCACGCCTGGGTGCACAGGCGTCTGCACACATACAATGTCCCCGGGACCCCCAGCCTAGCAACCAGCCACCTCTCGGTGGGAGCCGGCAGCCCCGAGGCTGGGGAAAGCCATGTCTCTGTGCATTCGTCAAAAATTGATTTTTAAAATGTGAATGGTTTTCAATACTGTCAAAGACAAGAGGCTACAGATGGGACCCTGCAGTGGGTTGACCTGTCCCACAAAATGACAGGCCTCAGTCCTGACCCCCAGGATCTGAGAATGGGGCCTTATCTGGAAATAGGGCCATTGCAGGTATGATCAGTACAAAGGGGTCGCTCCCCTGGAGTCAGCCAGTCCCACCCCAACAACCCAACAAGACCGTGTCCTCACAAGGAGGTGCCGTGTGACCCCAGGGACACTGACAGGGTGAGGGACGAGAAGGATCGCTGCCACACCAGAGACTGGAGGAGGCGGGAGGTGCCCCCGAGACAGCGTGGCCCCTTGACCCCGCAGTTTGGGACTTACGGCCTGCAGACAGAGAAGGGTGGGTGCAGTTTGAGCCCTGAGCTTGTGGCTTTGTTAGGGCAGCGCTAGGAAAGGGAAACACACAGAAATGCCTGAGTCCATGGCAGGCACAGCAGCCATAACACTCCCCTGGCCCTGGAGGCCGCCTCCTCCATCCTGTCCTCGGCCCTGTCCCAGGATGTGGAAGGGCCCCAACTGCTGTAAGGATTAACCACCTCTGGCTCATTCAGTGCACTTGTGGGTTCCTTCCAATGCTAATAAGCACGCGCAGGAGGCCCCGGAAAGCTCAGAGGCGCTACAGACAGGGCTCTGCCACCTGCAGCACCGGGGGCGGGGTAAGGTCTGCTGACCGCAGGCCAGAGAGGACAGGCACAAGCACACTGGAAGGCGTTCCCGTGGCCGCAGTGGCTGCAGCCAGTGGAACAGGAGCAGCCGTGCCAGCCTGAGCTTCTCACAGGTGCACAGGCACGTGGCCTCCGAGGGTGGCCACCACCCAGCTGCAGGGGCAGGAGCAGGTGCCCGGACAGACAGGCGCTGCTCATTCTGCTGTCCCGGAAACGAGCACGGGCCACAGCTGCGTGCACACGCACACCCCAGCAGCGAGGGCTCACGGGGCACCGCTGCATCCTCACATCCCTGACCAGCCTCCAACAGGACAGCCCGCATCGTCGGCCCCAGCCCTGAGGGGACATGGGGCGGATGCAACCATCCCCAGAGCTGGTGGCGGAGCTGGGGTCCCTCCCGCTCCCTGCTGGCCCCGGGCAGAGCCCAGGACAGACGGCTCTGCCCTTCCCAGAATGAGCAGCACTAAAGCCATGAAGGCATGGGACAAGGCAGGCTCCTCCCTAGGGACTGGCAGCTGCCGTACTCTGAGCAGCACAGGGCGGATTCGCAGGCTCGGACACGGAGAACCCGAATGAGCCCGTGGACACAGCGGAACTGGGGCATCAGCGAACTCATGGCTCTGACGTGCGTGCCTAGAGAGAGAGGTGCCTGCCAAAGTGTGTGCACCCAGGAGTTTCTCAATCCTGCGTCCGCCAGAGGCACCGGGACAGTGGGGATGGGCAGGGGATCTCAGCACCTGTGTCCCAGAGAGCAAGGAAGGCCACCAAGCAAGGGCGCCCAAGACAGACTCCCACCGGCCACGGCCCCGGCAGCTTGAGCGTGAAAATAAGAGGCAATCACAGGAGTCAATGAAGAGAGTTTGGTGGGAAACAGGCCACTGACGGTCCCCAGGCTGCAAGGGCGGAAGGGGCCCGGAGGACTCCTTGCTGACAGAGCCACACGGGGGAAGCAGGCCGTCCTCCGGGGATGGGCCAGGTGCCAACCCCGCACCAACGCACACACACCTGCCACCGACAGCAAGGGGCTGTGAGGCAGACTCAAAGTGGGGGACCTACCAGGCAGTCAAGGAGATGGACACACGTCAACCTGTCCCCCCAGATCCCACCCTGTGCACACACCCCAGCTCGCACGGGTCCCCATATGGCGGCTTGCGGGTATTCCACAGCTAATCCCCTTCCCAGGATCACCCTACGGCAGAGGTTACCTTTACGTTGACTCTGCTTTGGAGTTTTCCTAGGAATTGAGTGACCCCACCGCACTTGGCACAGAGCTGAAACTCCAGGTGGGGGTCCTGACCCAGAGGAAAGGCCCCAGCGCCTTCTTGCTCCAGGTAGCAGGCTTGCCCTCAGATCTGCCCGAGGAGCACCAGAAGGCGGGCCTGCGAGCACCCACCATCACGAGGGGCCGAGGCAGGCACGTGGCGGGGTCCTGGGCTGACAGGCCTCCTTCCCTCCTCTGGAGCACACCCCTCCTCTCCCCCAGCCAACGTGGGTGCCTGTTACAGTGTTTCTAGGGGCCACTTCACAGTGCACTGGTTCTGGGAGTGCTGGGCAGGGTCCCGAGGCCTGGACCCTCGCGGTGGCCAGAGCGGTGGACAAGGAGCCGGCGACCGTGAAGGGAGGCCGCCGCACAGCCTGACCTCCAGCGCAGGCGGCCGTGGGCCTGAGCT